TTCAGATGCTATAAGGGGCTCCATCCTAGATTGTGGTACCGCCACAGAGTATCTTAAGAAAGTGGAGAGTCAGTTCACTGGCTCTTCAAAGGCTTATACCAGTACTTTGATCAAGAAATTGTTCAATGCGAAATACACTGGTGGCGATATCAGAGAGCACATCCTGAAGATGAGCAACACGGCTTCGAAGCTGAAGCCAATGGATTTGGGGCTCAACAATGAGTTCCTGATTCATTTGGTTTTTGCTTCGTTGCCCAAATAATATGAAACTTTTGTTGTGAACTACAACATGCAGCCCTATAAGTGGGATATAAAGAAGCTCATCGCAATGTGTGTTCAAGAAGAGGAAAAGCTGAAAAGTTCATAAGGTGATTCTGCTAACCTTGTGAAGGATAACAAAAAAAGAACTTCAACAAAAATGCCAAACCTCAAGGGAAAGCCCATCAGAATGACCACCATCAGAAAAAACAACAATGCTCAAGTTAAAAAGGATCAGTGTAAATGGTGCAAGAAGTATGGACATTACCAGAGGGACTGTCAAGACTTCCTGAAGAGCCTTCTGAAGAGAGATGAGGATTTCATTACATTCATAGATGAATCCTTATATTTAAGTTATGCAAAATCTACTTGGTGGATTGATTCAGGTGCAACTGTTCATGTTGCAAATTCATTACAGGGATTCCATACGAGAAGGACCCTGCAAAGAGGAGAAAAAAGAATTAAAGTTGCAAATGGAGTTGAACCTGAAGCTGAAGCTGAAGCCATTGGAGATCTCTCTATAGAATTATATGATAGTTTTAGACTACAACTTTCAGATATTCTTTATGTACCCTCTTTGAGTACAAACTTAATAAGTGTCTCACGACTAGATGATGATGGATATGATTGTTATTTTGGTAATGGCAAATATCGGATTGTGATTAATAATAAGTGTGTTGGTCTTGCCTTCCGACAAAATAAGCTTTATTTATTATCATTTTCTGAGAATATGAATGATGTGAGCACTGAGAATTAGAATGCTTCCTCGTCTATGAATGCAACAAACAAGCAGAAGAGAGTGCATGATGTATCTTTGAAATTATGGCACTATCGTTTAGGTCATATTTCAAGGGGGAGAATAGAGCGATTGATTAAGAAATCAATTCTTCCGCCTTTAGAATTTTCAGATTTAGAACAATGCATAGATTGCATAAAAGGAAAGTACGTTAAGAAAATAAAGAAAGATGCCAAACGAAGCGCAGGAATTTTACAAATAGTTCACATAGATATCTATGGTCCTTTTTCTGTGAAAAGTGTGGATGGTTATGATTCATTTATAACATTCACAGATGATTATTCTCGTTTTGGCTATATTTATCCAGTTAAGGAAAGATCGGAAGCGTTGGATAAATTTAAGATATTTAAGACTGAAGTAGAAAATCAGTACAACTTAAAGATTAAGGTAGTAAGGTCCGATCGTGGGGGAGAGTACTATGGTCGACACACCCCATATGGCCAAGTTCCTAGACCCTTTGCAAGGTTCTTACAGGAAAATGACATAGTAGCGCAGTATTCTACACCGGGCGAGCCTCAGCAGAATAGAGTAACTGAAAGATGCAACCGTACCTTAATAGACATGGTGAGAAGCATGATAAGTTACTCTACCCTACCGATAAGTTTATGGATGGAGACGTTAAAAACCGTCATTTATATTCTTAATTGAGTGCCAAGCAAGTCGGTGCCCAAAATACCGTATGAGTTGTGGACAGAAAAGGAACTCTCACTTAACTATTTACGTGTGTGGGGTTATCTAGCTGAGGTAAAAGTTTTTAACCCAAACATAGGAAAGCTAGACTCCAAGACAGTAAGTTACCATTTCATTGGCTATCTAGAAAAGTCAAAAGGTTATCGCTTCTATTGTCCTAATAGATAAACGAAGTTTATAGAAACAAGACATGCTATCTTTTTGGAGGATGATATGATCATGGGGAGTATGGTAGCGCAAGAAATTAGTTTTGAAGAGAAGATGGTATACGTGCCCACTCCTATCGTTCAGGAGACATTCTTTACGCTACCTGTTGTTGCTGTACCAACAATGCAAGATACTGTAGTAATAGCACCTGTTGTTAGTTCTCCTGTGGCAACAATAAATGAACATGAGGAACCTGTCCTTCAGGATCTCCTAGAACCCATTGTCACACATGAGGGAGAGCAACAACAGCCTCATATAGAACAAGCGTCATCTAACAAGGCCCCTAGAAGGTCTCAAAGAGTCAGAAGATCAGTCATTCCTGATGATTACGAAGTTTATGAATGTGAGGAATTTCAAATGGAGGGTGATCCCACCTCATTTGAAGAAGCCATGAGAAGCGCTCACTCATCCAAGTGGCTTGAAGCCATGGAAGATGAAATGAAATTAATAAAAACCAACGGTGTTTGGAACTTAGAAACAATTCCTAAAGGAGCCAAGACAGTAGGTTGTAAATGGGTCTACAAAACTAAACATGACTCCAAAGAAAATATAGAAGGTTTAAAGCGCGACTTGTGGCGAAAGGTTTCACGCAAAGAGAAGGTATAGATTATAATGAGATATTTTCTCCAATCTCATGTAAGGATTCCTTTAGAATCATAATGGCGCTTGTAGCACATTACGATTTAGAATTACATCAGATGGATATAAAAACGGGGTTCCTAAATGGGGATCTGGAGGAAAATGTTTACATGGCACAACCGAAAGGTTTTGTTGTGGAAGGAAAAGAACGCATGGGATGCCGCCTGAAGAAATCTATTTACGGATTAAAACAAGTTTCAAGACAATGGTATTTGAAGTTTGATAGTACAATAAGAAAGTTTGGGTTTCAACAAAATGTAGAGGACAATTGCATTTAAATAAAGTTCAAGAATGAAAAATACATTTTCCTAGTCTTGTATGTGGATGACATCTTGCTCGCAAGCAGTGATGTTAATCTACTACTAGAAATAAAGAAGTTCTTGTCCTCGAAGTTTGATATGAAGGATCTCGGTGAAGCTTCATTCATCCTAGGAATAGAGATTCACCGAGATAGAGAAAAGGGGGTTTTAGGATTGTCACAAAATGCATACTTAGAAAAGTTCTAAAGAAATACAATATGTAAAATTATAAGTCTTTACCTGCTCCCATAGTCAAGGGCGATAGATATGGGAAATTTTAATGTCCCAGAAACCAATATGAGATTGATCAAATGAAAGCGGTTCCATATAGTTCAGCTATCGGAAGTTTACATCATGCTCAAGTGTGTACTCGCCCTGACTTAGCATTTGTTATCGGGTTACTTAGCAGATATCAGAGTAATCCAGGAATAGTATACTGGAAATTAGTAAAGAAAGTTTTGGGTTACCTGCAAGGTACGAAGGGTCTCATGTTAACGTATAGAAGATCTGATTCTCTGCACATAGAGGGGTATACAGATTCTGATTATGCGGGAGATGACAGAAAATCCACGTCAGAATACATATTCACTCTCGCGGGAGGTGCTATATCATGGAAAAGCTTAAAGCAAACCGTCACTACATCGTCCACAATGTATGCCAAGTTTGTAGCATGTTATGAGGCCATAGGGCAGGTGAATTGGCTGAAGAAATTTATGATCGGGTTTGACGTGGTAGAATACGTACATAAGCCACTCAAGTTATACTGCGATAATAATCCAGCAGTATGTTATGCTTACAATAATAAGTCAAGTGGTGCTGCCAAACACATTGACATAAAGTATTATATTATGAAAGATAAAGTCCGGGATCATATAATTAGTCTTGAGCATATAAGAACAGAAAAGATGCTCGCGGATCTGCTTACAAAAGGTTTACCACCCAGCATGTTCAGAGAACACTTAGCCAACATGGGTTTAAGGGAAAGCCTATGATTCCTGGACAATGAAGGCCTAGTTGAGAATCTGTTTCAAAACAGAGAGGTGGATTGTAGCTGTTTAATCTAATGGCAACTGACCGTGACGATGAGGCACGCTCTATGCACTGATCTGTGATCGAATCGGAATAGGATAAAGTAAGTAAGTTAAGTTTAAGTCATAAGGTGAGATCAAGGGGGAGAATGTTAGATTGATCTCTTCCAATTGGCCCAACAGTCAATTGAGCCCTTGGATCCGCGCCCTGATCGGAGGTGGCTAACCTCTCCATGGTTGGTGGGCCCCATCGCACAGCGCCATAAAAAGGGAGGTGGGGCCGGGGCACAAGGCACGAGGTTCACCTGAGCCGCCAGACACCCATCGACATCTCAAACCCTAATCTGATCTAGAGAGGGGGCGCTGCCAGTGACGGGAAGCGCCACCGCCGCCTCTGCGCCACGCCGGACGTCTACGACACGCGCGGACTCCACTGCTTCTACTATTCCGACACCCTCCGGGATGACTACGCCATGGACAGCTCGTCATCCTCCAAAGGCAACAGTCAGATGCTCCTACATCTCTCTCTCTCTCTCCCTCTCCCGTAACAAGTTCTAGGTCTAATTTGATTCAACCAGTAAGAGTTTCACCCTCCTATGTGCAACTAAATGATCCCTAAGGTATAACAGGCACCGCTAGCCATCATACAAAATTGAAAATTCATTATTCAGATATTTGATTTTCTTGAAGAGGATCCATGCCTCTCTAACGCTGAATTCCAGGTGCGCCAACTATGCAGTGATCGCCTTGCTCTGGAGATTAAGCAAAGGGTGGCATACTGGAAGCAACGGGGCAAATTCAAAGCTATTAGGGAGGGGACAGTAATACTGCCTTCTTCCAGGCTCAGGCAACTGGATGCATACGCAGAAACAAAATTAGGAGTATAGAGATTGATGGAGTCCAGGTCACAAATCACCAGAGCAAGGTTCAGGCACTGACTGACCACTTCAGAGCTATCATTGGCACTCCAGGGGAATCGGGTTGGCATTTTGGTTGTTCGGCATTGTACCGGGACCGACCAGTCGCTGATGATAGTCTCACAACCCCATTCACTGTCCAAGAAGAAAGGCGGCCATCGGTGCCATGAACCGCAACAGTGCGCCTGGGCCAGATGGTTTTGGCCCTAGCTTCTACACGGCGGCATGGCAAACGGTGACTGATGCGGTAATGGAATTCCTGGGAGCATTTCATAACGAAGTGATTCAGCTAGCCCAGGTGAATCGGTCTTACATGATATTACTGCCAAAAACACTGGATGCAACGTCTGTGACTGCCTTTCGCCCAATCTGTCTACAAAACTGTTGCGTCAAAATTTTGGCCAAGATTCTAACAACACAACTGCAGGCACAGATCAAGAGTTTGGTTGATCTTGACCGGACGGGCTTTATCAAAGGTCGATCCATCACTGAGAATTTTGTTTATGCAACGGAACTGGTGCAGTACTACCACAAGCGTAAACTGCCCACCCTAGTGATCAAGCTTGATTTCGCCAAGGCGTTCGACACTGTAAACTGGGATGCTCTTGACTTAGTTCTTCAGACCAGAGGATTCAGTGACAAGTGGCGTAGATGGATAATGTGCATTTTGCAATCTTCTCATTCAGTAGTGCTAGTCAATGGTGTTCCGGGGCCTTGGACCAATTGCCGTCGCGGCCTCCGACAGGGAGACCCGATGTCACCATACTTATTCATACTAGTGGCAGATGTGCTACAAATGCTTATTAGAGCGGACATCGAGATTAGACATCTGATACTTCAGAACGCAGGGTGCCCGGTCTTGTAATACGCAAACGACACCCTGCTACTTGTCCGTGGTGATCCTACTGATGTTCAGCGACAGCGGACTGCCTTGGATCAATTCGCATGTGCAACCGGGCTACAAATCAACTACAGTAAAAGCACTGCAGTCCCAATACACATGAATGAAGATGGTGTGGTACAGTGCATCTCCACGCTCGGTTGTCGTAGGGAAGGCTTCCCACAAACATACCTGGGTTTGCCACTGTCTAACGTCAAACTTCAACTATCTGCCTTCACACCGCAAATTGCAAAATCAGATAAGTACCTAGCAGCATGGCAAGCACCACTTCTGAACCACATGGGGCGTGCGACACTAGTAAACTCAGTCTTGACAGCCAGCTAGTATATGCTATGTGTGCGCTGAAGATTCCACCAGGTGTGATTGATCGGGTAGATCGAAGGCAAAGAGCATTCCTCTGGTCCGGCGATGACACCACATCCGGAGCAAAGTGTGCCTTGTGGCACGGGATCATGTATGTGACACCAAAGATAGAGGTGGGCTCGGATTGAAGGACTTGGCTGTTCAAAACACCTGCTTGCTGCTGAAACTAATCCACAAGCTTCACCAAGAGGAGGAATCAGCGTGGGCAGCATGGGTGATCAAGAGCGAACGCCTGCATCGCCTTCCTCACTGGGAACCTCCATGGTCACCATTGGGAGACGCTTCGCTCCTTGCTGCCTGTTTATCGAGCTATAACAACTGTCAAGCTAGGGAATGGCAGGGCAACATCTTTCTGGTATGATGTCTGGGATGGGGATGACACCATGTTGGATCTTTACCCGGAGCTCCATATATAGCCACTGCACAAAAATGGAACTATCAGTGGAACAAGCTTGCGAAGATGGTCTGCTGCGGTTTTTGGTGCCCCGTCTATCACCAATGGCAACAAACCAACTAAGCTGCGTACAAGAGGTGCTTTGAGAGTTAGACTCACAAACTCCAGGGACAAGCGCTGCAGCCCGCTGCTCAAAAAAGATGGAGGTCTAGACTCTACAGCCATTTACCACGCACTAAAGACTGCTGACTCCGCTCCTGATAGCTGGGCGAAATTTGTCTGGAACAACAAAGGTCCACCACGGGTCAAGTTCTTTAACTGGCTGCTCTCGCAAGGTCGCATCCAATGCAAGACTAATCTGCTGAAGAAATCCATTGTTCAAAATGCGACCTGCGATGTCTGCCTCTGTGAAGAAGAATCGCCGGCTCATGTCCTCTTCGGTTGCTCCCTAGCCCGGTGTTTCTAGGATGCGCTGGGCATCTCCACTTCTAGCGACTGGCAAGTGAATGCACTGATGGATATACGGCGGCCTGATCACGTTCGACGTTCCAGAGAAGCACTTTGGCACTTTCCTTCTGCTGTGTTGCTGGCATATCTGGAAACGCCAGAATGCATTTATTTTCAGAAACGAGCAAATCAGTCTGCCAGGGACGCTGGGCGTGTGCAATACTGTGGCCAATCTGTGGGCGGCAAGGCTACCCGAGAAGGACAGACAGGTTGCAGCCACCTGCTGTAATCTACTCACAGACGCAATGTAAACTCTAGGAGAGCATGTGAGTCTTCGTGAAGCGCGGTGGCGCAAAACAACCATGTATTTCAAACCATTTAGCCCCTTGGGCAAACAAATTTGAATGAAGTCAGGTGGGCAAACAAATTTGAATGAAGTCAGGTGGGTAGGGATGAAAACGGATCGGATCGGAGCGGATAATGGCTTTCCCATATCCTCATCCATTTTCCTTCTCGGATTCGGAGCAGATCTGATATTATACGGATTCGAATACGAATACGAATTTTTTAGATCTTGGAAATGGTACGGATTCGGACCGGTGTCGGAGCGGAAGCAGACTTTTTTAAGTCGGATACTATGTGCTTACATGTTGTTTTTTATGATAAGAAACAATTCATTAACCAAAGTCAAAAAGCGGCAATACAACTCGAGATAATCACTATCGTGACCAAACTTAGTCGGTTTGTGTCAAATATAGGAGATGATCATTGGTGCACTCTCTGAGAGAATAATGCGCTATCTGAAGGGTACTATGAGCTATGGAACTAACTATGCTAGGTACCTAAGGGTGCTTGTGGGCTATAGTGGCTCCAACTGGATATATGATGCTGATGAAATATATGCCACAAGTGGATATGTGTTCACGCTTGGACATGGCGCTGTTTCATGGAACTATTGCTAGCAAACCATCTTAACGAGGTCAATAATAAAAGCATAACTCACAACATGGATACTGCCATTGTTGAGACGAGTGGCTTCGTGAACTTGTTATGGATTTACAGATAGTTGAAAATATATACCAGCTGATAATCAAAGTGAACAGTTCTAATAATAACATGAAGTCCACAAGGTATGGAAAGAGGTGGATAAAATCTATTAGAAATTGAGAAACTCCAGAGTGGTAGTGTTGGGTTATATCCATACGTCTAAAAGTCTAGTAGATCAATTCACTAAGGGACTGTCACGTAATGTGATAGGTAGTGCATCAAGTGAGATAGGCTTGAGACCCACATGAAGTCTATCATCATGGTAACCTATTCTATGTGATCGGACATCCCGTGAAGTAGGATGGTGAAAGAGGTAGACTGTGACTAAAGACCCTTAATAAGGTCCATGTGGTATGGGATGCGCGTCTTTCATTTTCTGTAAGGCAGGTTGTACGTCTTTTACGTTAATGTGTTCGAAGTGGCTTTTTAAAGCAAATATGCTATCCTACACGGCATCTTTTGAGTATATGAGTTCGATTGCTAATTACAGTATATGAGATTTGGGTGGTCTTTAGATACTCATGAAAGGCCTAGGAGGTTGACTTATATGCTCTTATCAGAGGGGATGCTCTAGGCAACTTAGTATCAGTAAAGGACCTATGTGAAATTTATTTCGCATAAAACTATCAATTCAAGGCATAGTTCATTGTTCAGTTGTGAAGAAGTGTAACCTCTGTTCTAGTTAGATGTTCAACTTAACAGTCTCCATGGAAGCACTGGTATATCAAACAACAAAGAATTAAGAGCATTTCATATGTGACCTAGAATTTGATGGGAATTGCTAGATTTAATATGGGCTTAGCCCATATTTTATTAGTTAAATCAAATAAATCCTAGGCCCGTATTTAATGCTGTGGTGCAAGATGCTTTAGTCTCGTTTGAAATTTTGACTATACGTTAACTCAACTAAAATTAACGGACTACGGGCCTGTTTGGTTGGAGACCAAAGCTTACCATGTCAAAGGTTGGTCATGCCACAGTTTCTTCGGCAGCTGTTTGGCTCACTGTCACAGCTATGGCACGCTAAACTTTTCTAGCACCCTGCTCCACATGTCATAGACTCATTTTCGTGTCAAAACTTGCCACAAGTTTGGCTTCGATTTTGTTCACCACACTTTCTGTGGCAGCCACAGTTTGCCGAAGGTTAGGTGTGGCAAGTTTTGACCACCAACCAAACAGGCCTTACGTGTGCACCTATTGAGAAGTTGAGAGAGGCTAAGGACGTGCCACACGCGCGAGCACGGTGTTGGTGCCACCGAGCCAAGCCGAGCCGTGGCGTGTCATGCGCGGGCTGGGGCCGCGCCACTCCACGACACAATGTGGTGCGAGCTGGCTTTGGTTTTGCCACTTGGCTAGTTGATGGAGGCTTTAATTATTGGGAGTTTTCTTGTAGTCATTACGGAAGTTTATGCTTCTTCCTGTAACTTCTCCGGACTCGTGACGTGTGCGGGCTTAGGCCACGCCGCTCCATGACTAGGCTTGGTTTTGCCACTTGGGCTGGATGATTGAGGCTTTAATTAGGAGTTTTCATGGAGTTATTACGGGATTTTCTGCTTCTGCCCGTAACTTCACCGGAATAATTACGGGAGTTCCTATTTCTGCACGTAAGTCCACCGCCGATTACTCCTCTCGATCTTTCAGGTGCGCAACCTCCTAAGCTTCTACCATGACCTCCAACTCTTCGGCTTTGATCTGCTCGGACCTCCTGACCTTTCGAGTTCTGGTCGCTCGGGTATAAGGAAGGCGTCCTGAATAGCCTCTCGTGTGTACGAGACATAGAAACCATACCCTCTCTTCTCTCTCGAGTTGCTCCCAAGTTTCCCTGTTCAGGTCCTGTGTGCACGGAGGATTGGAAGAGCATGCCTCCAGAAGCACTCAGTGTCTGCGGCACCTGCTCGGGTGTGTCGAGCGATCAGTTTTTAAGAGAGCGTCTAACGTGACTGCTCGTTGCCGATCCAATCGACGGCATTGTCTTTTTCCTGGTGAACGTTTAAGGGGCTTTACTGCGAACATGGTTCTGTATCGATTGTGGTCGACGACATCGAGCAACGCACTATGTCGACTAATGTGCATTGAGTCACCAATGCCTAGAACATGGTCCCTCCACAGGGTATACATCTCTTACTGATCAATGTGTTCAATTTAGTATAATTAATATCTGCTATGATCAGTATGTTTGTCATATTTGTTTTTGCTACTGTTGCTAGTAGTAATATTTCACACATGCACATTTATGTCGTCACAAATTTGCTATGTTTTTTCTGGATTAAATTAAACATGAAAATGCCTAATTTCCTAATAGCGTGTAGTATTACATGAGATAATTATACGCATACACATACACATATGAATCTTGTACTGGTGATCGTGATTGTGTGTTAGCCATATGAATACTTTGGATATACATTACTCACGTAATACAACTGAGGATCCGTACGTGTATACATGTCTTAGCCACATGCAAATCAACAAATAAGAGATAATAATCATGAAAAGAAAGAAACTATCCTAGGAAGTTCTGGTTTCGTTATTAAAAAAGAAAAGCTGGGTTTGTTGCCGTAGAGGACGGATCCACGCTATGTATCTGATGCATGCATGAGTGTGCATAACTGTGGTGCATGCTCTCCTATATCAGATATGGCAAGGAAAACAATGCACACATATCCAACATTTTTCCTTAGATTGTTTGATTATTTAATTGTCCAATACTCCG